CATCTGTTGTGATTAAGATACTATGTGGTTTTCGGAAATATATTTAGCGAATTCTCGTATACAGGGTGTTTTATAAGAGTGTGAAAATTTGGTTAAGAATATTTTTTACCGCAAATTTTCAATTTTTAAGAAATCGAAATTTTTACCATGTACGACTAATCTGTACTGAAATTAGAAAAAACAATTTGATCGGGTTTTTCTTTTTTTTTCTTTTAAGGAAAATACTATGTTTTTTCGAAAAATATGCATTTTTAGTCCGATGGTCCTAAATGGTACAAAAAGCTTTGTACATTCTACATATGCCAAAAAATTATTAATATAGAGTGTATCTAAAAGCAGATAACTAACACAAGTTGAAAAAAATCTTCCATATCAGAATAATATTTTTATTTATAAAATAAGTAGATAAATTATAAAAAAATTTAAGTTTATTTAATATTAAATATATTTTTTGAACACACTGTATACATCGGTCCAAATTTCTGTACAGCTAGAAGATACACGCTATATCAGTATATTGTGGGCCTATGCAAAAAGTACAATGCCTTTTGTACCATTTAGGACTATAAATGCATATTTTTCGAAAAAAAAACTCGTATTTATCTTAAAACAAAAAATTAAAAAAAAACACCAAATTGTTTTTTCTAATTTCAATACAGATTAGTCGTACATAGTTAAAATTTCGATTTTTCAAAAATTGTAAATTTTCGATAAAAAAATTCTTAACCAAATTTGTACACTATTATAAAACACCCTGTATACGAGAATTCGCTAAATATATTTTCGAAAACCACATAGCATCTTAATCACAATAGATGCGTCTAAAACCTGGTCCAAACCGCATCCCAAAATCAAAGAGGAAAAAGAAGAGCATTTATTGTTTACAATCCCGCAATTTTGCGGATCCGCGGGATTGATTGCTTTAATCCCGTGAGTTTGCGGGATTGAGATTTTGGTGCGGGACTGCATTTCCTAGTCAGTTGTTAGATCCATAGAGAAAGGCTAAAACTTAGCTTATAAAACAATTAAATTTTGATTTCTAACCACAATTTCTTTTGACGGAAGATAATCAAAGGCCAAAATTACAATTCTCGCAAATTTTGAAGTACAATTAGTGGGAAATTTAAAAATTTGATAACTTTTTCTAATAATTGAAAATGTCTACCACTAATTTTGACGTTTAGAATGATTACATTGAAATTAAAAGAACAAACTTCTACGCTACTTGAAACCACTAATGTATTCCACTAATTGCGAGGTTCTGAATGAAGCTTAACTGAAACCACTAATTCATTCCAGTAATTGCAAGGTTCTGTATAAAGCTTTACATTTAACTAGCTAAATCGAAAATAAATAAAACATATGGTGAGAAATTTTGGCCGTAAAACAGTTATAGTCATGATAATAACACTTCCATAAAATCTACAGTCCGTTCAACTAACTAGCAATAAAAATAATATAACTATAAAACGGGCATATATCATAAAACGACAAGCAATAAAAATGGGTCAATAAAAATAGAATATTTTATTTTATAGGGTGATTGATTGATTCATTTCAATTTCAACATTTATTTAGTAACGAGCTTTTGAAATAAATCGATAAATTCAAGGTTCTGTTCATTGTTCACACTAAAAACTAATTAGCAGCTAATTTTGTTATAGCGTTACAACCGCCAGAATCGATATCAGTTAATTTGTAGGTAAACTATGCGGTATTTCGATGAAAAAGACTATAATTTGTCACTATCCAACAGGTTTTGGTCGTAATAGTCCAGGAGGCAGTGAAGATTTTCGGTACTTATTTTCGCAGTCAGCAAACATCGATAGAATTATTCAGTATGTTACTCAACCACAAAAAATATGAAGATAATCAAAATTAATAATAACCATCTAAACTCTGAATCAGGAAACAAGACGTTTGCGTAATTGCGCATTGTTTCTATTAGGCCCACTATCTCATTCTAATATAACAAGAGAGAAAGAAGCAGCCATATAAAACGTAATTTCTAAATAGAAATTAGAACAATCGCCCCTTTCGTTTTCGTCTTCATAACAACAAAGATGACAACATCATGACAATCTGTCATGTTTATTAATTTTTCTTTTGGTGATTTACCTTTTCTTTAAACTCTTCATTTTATTGACTTATGAATATGGATAGGGAACAAATTCCTTTGTTCCATATAGGTATTTATATTTTGTTACTTATAATTTTAGATTATACTATTTGTTACTTTATTTGCTGCAGGAGCCAGTATCATCTATTTTTTATATGTATTGGTGCTCCCTTTCTCTGATAGATATGTTAAAGACACCCGGTAGAATAAAAGTAAGTAGTTATATTTATCATCTTATTAAGAAAAAAGTAGAAGTAGTAGTGTCAAAAATATTTACCCCTCTTTTGGGTAGGTAGTTTATAGCTGGTTTATAGTAACCAGAAACTTTATTAATATACCTATTTTACTTTTGTTTTAGGATTAAAACTGGACTTGAAAATGGTTCAGGATCATGATTCTCGTAAAGTCTTCTTTGCTTGGATATTCACTTTGTTATTGCAATTAGGCAGTTTTTTCGAAAATAAGATTGTTAATGCCCATTAAAAAAATTGGCCGATCGTTTCCTGCAACAGTCAGTTCTTCTGCATTTAAAATTGGTAGGTGGGTGGAATAAACACTGATATTTTTTGTTATTGTAATATAAAAAGTTTATTTATTTTTATGTATAAATAAATATGTTTATAAAACAGTACAATTTTTGCTTTTTTTATAATTTCCCTTATAATAGTAGAATTCTTTCGTTCTGAGAGAAACTGCAAATTTTCACTTGAACTGATTTATTCCCTACACCACGTTCCCTTTACGTGGTATAGGGAATAAATCAGTTTAAGTGAAAATTTTCAGTTTCAGAATGAAAGAATACTACTAATAATGGCTAATGTAAATTTTCCGCCAGCCAGAATGTGCGATAATGTCTTACGATACGTTTTATACATATCTCTTTCTTTTTCATATAAAGCACCCATAATAAAGAAAGATAACAATAAAGACGTACGTCCTGCCATGGTCCTGCTAATTGGTTTCAAAATTGTCATTCTAAGTTGCGCTACGGGAACGCGGTCCCACTCTTTACCTTGAGAATTGTCAGTCTCTTTTTATTTGTTTGTCTATGGTTAGGAAATAAATAACGATGTACTTAAACAGCCGTTAAACGGTAGCCTACTAAAATGCCGTTAATAGATATTGTGACGTCGTTCATATCGGCGGAAAGTAATCCCTGCCTATAAGCATTTTGCAAGAGCACCTGTGGCTCCGTGGCTGAGGCTATCGCTTCGTGAACGAATGGTCCGTGGTTCAAATCTCACGCCGACCAAGACTTTTTATATTTTTTTTTGTTTATAGCGTGATCTTATTGCATTGGTTTCACTCTTTTTGGTTGTATTGGTTTAGTTATTTGGCGGGTTGGTTAGCGTGATTATCTGGAGCGAGGGGTGTCTCGCTATTGGAATTACATGTACATTTTCTTGGCAGTCGCTGGCAGTCATTGGCAGTCTTACGGCAGTCACCTAAATAATTACATGGCAGTCATAGGCAGTCTTCTGCGTAGTCGTTGGCAGTCGCTTGGAAGTAGAATGGTATTTTGGCAGTACATGTACATTTTTTACCCAAGTGAGACACCCCTCGATCTGGAGGGTATTAATTCATTGGTTAGTTGGTTATTTGGTGGGGTTGGTTGGTTTTTACTAATTTGTATTTGTTTTTTATATTTTTTTATCAGTGTCGAGGTTAGTTGCGTTGGTTAAGTTGGTTATTTGGTGGGGTGGATAGCGTTGGTTAGTCCTTATAAAATTTCTATATTTCATAAAGCCGTCAAGTGCGTCACATCAACGACGTCATACCTATTAACGGCATTTTAAGCTTGTTTCATATAGACGCGAATCGCGAATTGCGATTTTGCGAAACTGCTCTCATTGGTCCAATTTTAATGATCATGCAGCGCTGTCAGAAATTTTAAGATTTCGGCGATTCGCAAGATTTAAAATTTGGGGGGCGGGAAAGTTAAAGTGTTTTTCAACTTTTGCGAATATTCGCGCGATTTTAAGGTTCGCGTTTGCGCAGAATGGTGTTGTGATCCGGTTATCGATTATTTTGACGACGCTGCCAGACGCTGCCACAAAGTACCAAAGTACAAAGTAACTGAAAGCATTTCTCCAGGTGAAATGGGTTCTCGTGTATATGTTTTTGATATAATATGGTGACAATTTTTCAACCAAGTTATCAAACTCCTATACAGACAATCTGTGAAAAACATAAACACATCATAGTCAGTAGACTCAATCTGAAAATTCCTAAATTTTTTCTCATCTTTTGACCTCATTTCTTAAATTAAATTGCGATAAGCACCTTGTTGCTTACGAAATTTAAATATTTCACATGTCCCAAATGACCTATAAACCCGTTCTCTTCTACGTTTAACAATAAGTAAATGGCAATTTTGCACCTTCTGTTCCAATCCCACAATCGTAATCAATATTCATAATTATTGTATGCTATAAAATATAAAATAAAGATCGTAAACATGAATAAAAACAAATTAAGTTATCTCAGGTTATGATTTTTTTTAGTAACTTTCAGTGGAGCAAAAATGAAATGTCCCTAAAAATTCGCGACTGTATGAAATAGGTCCAAATTTTGCGAATATTTTTTGGCGAATCGCTTTTCGCAATTCGCGATTCGCGTCTATATGAAACAAGCTTTAGTAAGCTACCGTTTAACGGCAGTTTAAGTACAGCCAATAAATAAATGTGGCAACTTGACATTTTTTTACAGCAGTGCTACCACCTGAATCCCTAGCTGGAAATTTAAATTCAGCCCTCTGTCAGCCTGACGCCGAATATTTCCATGGTTGGCATGTTGGCAACAATGAATTTAAAGATCTCGCCCTCGATTACGTAACTAAAAATTTAATTGGTATCGCTTATATTATTGCATCAATACATACCATCAAAGACAGCTTGCCTCAATCACGTAACGGGTTAAACCTGAAACAAAAACAGGAACGTTAGGAAAAATAAAACAAAATCATTTTTCCCTGAAAAAAAGAAACAACCTGGACGTAGACTAATGATAAATTTTCATCGCTTACATTCCTCAAACGAAAAATTCCGTCCACTTTCCTAAGCCCGGCGCGAGAAAAAAGCACATAAATTAAGAATATCGCTTTGAAATGACAGCCCGAGCATTTCCGGTAATGTAGAACCCATTAATATCTAATTTATTCCATTTTTACCTGGGAATGGCTTCATTTAAGACAACCGTATCTGAGGTATTTGTTCGTAACGACATCGAGGGCCACCAAAAACGCAAGATTTATTGCCTTTTACATAATTTAGCTTTCCCAGAACAGTAAATAGAATCCGGGAAGGCCTTGAAAACTGTGAATTAGTCATTGTGGGGTAAACCGCACGCAACCTTAAAGGTGCCCGTACACCTCGTTCTCTGTCATTTTTAACCGTCGCCAAAGGTCATTTCAATTTTTTTTCGGAATTAATAAATCGAAAAAATAAGGTATCAAAAAACCTACGATTGATGTTGTATTTTATTGTTAATAAACCAGTGGCATGCTTAAAAAATAATATTTTTTTATCTCAACAGAGGTTGCTTGGGTGCAACGTCAAAGTTCATATTGTCAAATCTCCATTGAATATCGGAATAATATACTGGGTGTTCCATTTAAAATAAAAGAGTAACATGCTTTTAAAGGTGACCAATGTTCAATATTAATTTTGTCTCACTTAATTTGATTTAAAGTACTATAGTTAATTTAACTACATATTAGGCTATACCGGGTAAATTCCAATTTAGGTAGCTTTTATTGTAATTTAAAAATTGTTGTTTATTTCTAGAAAATGTTAAATATATCAAAATACTTATTTTTCTCCCAGAATCCGAAAATCAATTAATATATAGGGTGTTCCACTACAAAAAACACAACTTTGATATGTAACTTTTTTTGGGGACACCCTGTAGAACTCTCTATATTTTTAAAAAGTGCTCTGAATTAACCTACATATATGCTCACAAAATGTCATTTCAATACAAACTGGCGTTCTCCTTGGAGCCTCCGCGGCGTTTGAGAAGCGCCACCCTGTATACAGGGTGTCCCACGCCGAGCGTGCATTAGAAGTTTCTTCATCATAATTATCTTTTTCATCTTATCTAAGATTTGGAGTGATCCTTCTGACCGAACCGTTGCGTTAATCAAAATAAATAAAGACAATGGCAGTCCGAAATTATTTTAGATTGTGACAACTAAAATCCAGTTAACATTTTATTATAATCGATCCTGACGAATAAATGAATTTCATAAATGAATGAATTTTATAAATGAATGGTTTTTGGTGCCGAATTACTAGAATACAATATTTCAAGGCAGATGACGCATCTATTCGATAATTTTTATTCGAATAGTTTTCAACGAATGTTTTCTTACTAGCTATCGAATTATTCGAATGAATTGCAACTATCGAATGTTTCGATAGTATTCATTCGATAGTTCCCACTACTAATTTTAGTCTCAATACGCAAATAGTTTTGTCTCCTTTAAGTGAGATGTCTTTGATTTTATTACATCTATATACTAATATATAAAATCCTTCAGTGACTGACATACTGATTAATCACGATTCTGGTCAAACCACTCAACGTAAGAAGCTCAATTTTGGCATACAGGTGGATTCTAGAGTGTAGAGGTTCGATAAGAGGGGATTTTTCGAAATTCCAGTTCCAAATATTACAATATTTTTTATTTAAAAAACGGTCAAGTTTCCAAAAAAACGCTTAAACACGTATATTTTATTTTGTTTTTTACATATTTTAAGATTTTCTAAAAATGTATACAGGGTGTTTAGAAAAATCTGGTCATTGATTAATCACGATCCTGCTTAAAGCGCTTGACGCAAAAAGCTGATTTTTGGAAAACTGATTGACTTTAGGGTGTAGAGGTTCGATAAGAAGGGATTTTTCGAAACTCGAATTCTATGGGGGTGAAACTATCTCTCAAATAATAAAAAAATATTTTTTATTTAAAAACCGGTGAGTTTTTCGGAAAAACTCTTAAAACACGTATATTTTATTTTGTTGTTTTACATATTTTAAGATTTTTTATAAATTTATACAGGGTGTTTCATAAAATATGACCATTGAGTAATCACGATTCTGCTTAAACTGCTCGACGTTTAAAGCTGATTTTTGGCAAACAGATTGACTGTGGGGTGTAGAGGTTCGATAAGGAGGGGTTCCTCGAATCTCAAATTCCAAGAGGGTGAAAACGCCCCTCAAATATTACAATATTTGTTATTTAAAAAACGGTTCGTCTTTCGGGAAAACGCTTGGACAAGCATAATTTATTTGGTTTTTTTACATATTTTGAAATTTTTTAAAAAATCATACAGTGTGTTCCAAAAAGTTGGGTCATTTCTTAACCACGATTCTGCTTAAACTGCTTGACGTAAAAAGCTTATTTTTGGCAAACGGACTTTTCGAAAGTCAAATTTCAACGAGATGAAACTACCCCTGAAATATATAATATCGCCATACTGTTTTTTCTCATGCTGACATAAATGTGAGAAAATTTTATCCAGTTTGTATGTTAATGGAAATTCTTGCTTTGCTTTATCATCACCATTACAAATGATTAATTCGACGCGAACGAAGTGGCCAGTACACGCTAGTTATATATATTTTTGATGGAGGATAATGATTATTCGAAGCCATTTTGAGCAGTAACTTTTTCTGGAACGGCCTGGAATGATTTCGGTCCATAAAAATGTAAGTCACGAAGCTTTTTACCCGTCTTTTTTTATTCGTCGTTGAGGAAAGAATAAAAAAGAGTCGCTGGTCCGTAAAAAAATTGCAAATGAAGATAAGGCGAAACTCCGACAGTAATTATCACGATGCTTTGCCGAGCTACCTACGTCTTTCCAAGCGTTTTCTGGACTTTTTGATGCTGCTTTTATTTGCATTAGAGGAACAGGCATCAGACGCAGACTTTTTTCTTTTCTCTTCCGCCTTTTTTATGTTCTTTTAGGATGTTCAAAGTTTTAACAACTAACGATTCTTATTATGCAATTCTAGAGTTTTCTTTTTTGTTTTGGAACTTGAATAAGAATGGAACTATAATAATAAGTATTTTTTTAATAATAAAATATGCCACCTCTGATGCCACTTCCTGATAGTGATAAATGTCCAAAATTTGTCAATAAAAAAGTAAGGTTCGACTACACTTGTCAAAAAGTTATTTTTAGTTACAACTCGTCATAGTCTAAGAGCTTTGACAAAAGCCAGTATGTGAGCTAAAACGTATAATTGTTTTGGGTCTAATAGGTTGTACGGGATCTGGCGCTGCTATATCGGTTGCTAAGAATAACCGCAAACAAGAACAGAAAGAATTTTCTCTTGCCAAAATCAGAATCTTCAAAAATTATAAGACCTTTCAAAATAATCGCTCGGCCAATAAACCGCTCGCATTGAAAAAATACCGAAAAGTGTTTAAAGCGTCCATTTTCAAGGTAATAATTATTGTTATCTTGTAAGTTTAATTTAAATTTTATCTACTCAAACCGAAAAAAATCCGAAAAGTGTATAAGGCGTCCATTTTCAAAGTAATTATTGGTATCTTGTGAGTTTAATATAAGTTTTTTTTACTCAAACCCGTGATAATTGTGAAAATGTGAAATGTGAACTGCAAAAATTATCGTGGATCATGGCATAACGTCGGTTTTTAATGTTTCATAGGTATTTCCATACATGTTCTTATACAGGGTTGTTCACCACATACGACACGGAGTATTGTAGCTAAAGGATTAGATTTTTACATAAAAGTATTATATAGTATTGTAAGTTTTGGGCTCGTTGAAATACTATTGGAGCTACAATTTAAAAATATTTTTACAAGATATATTATTACATTTTTAGTTTCTACGATTAAAATAAAAGTAAATTTTATTAAGGTTTATTACACTTAAACCTTCCCGTTTTTGAAATATTTTCAATTTTGTGAAATTGCAGTAAAAATTTTAAGGCTTCATTTCTCCAAGGGTATAAAAATTTTTAATACTATATATTTACTGAAGTCTGTTTATTGATCGGTTATTGTGCTGCAATAATAAAAATAATACTACCTCATACAGAGTGTCTAAAAATGTATTTTAAATTATTTCTAGCTTTAAACGGCAATAACTTGTATAATTTAAATGGAACGCCCTCTATATTTTAGGAGTATCAGATGCACAATTTAATTGTCTATCAAATTATATTATACCACTGTTTACCTATCCCTTCAAGTTTTCGTAGAAAATGCATTTTCTTATAATTTAGACCTCATTTATCAATATACCCATGGAAAATTGACATTTTAGATTGTTTTTAAAGCAACAAATGTACAAAATGTACAGGCTAGTAATATTATCGTTTTTAGCAAAATGATAATATTACAGCCCATTTGTATGCAAAAAGAAAACTATTTAAATCTTTATAAAAGAGTATACCATTAATTAAATATACCACCATTATTTCCGCCCAAATACTAATTAATTACATACTTAATTATGTTCGTTAATAAAGTTTTCTAAATAAATGTGAATTTGAATCACAAATCAATATAATAATAAGTTATGAAAATGAATGTCTCTGTTGTTATAAATAAGCATTTGTCAAAAAATGAAATATCATTTTTAAGGTGTTACTTTTTACCACACTATCTAATACACATACAAAATTCAGTTTTTTAGTATTTGGAACAATTATTATTAATCAACGCAAACAGTCAATTAATGTAGTTTGAATACTGGAATCATATTAATTGGTCCTCTTTAACAAATATTTAAACAATTTTTTTTATTTCTTTAATTTAATAATAAAATAAACAAACTATATCGAAAATATTAGTATCTGTACTCTTTAAAAATTTTGTACATCTTTAAAAATAATCTAAAATGTCAGTATTCCATGGGTGTATTGATAAATGAGTTTTAAATTACAA